GTCGCCTACTAGGTAGACAGTTACCAGCTAGCTTAAGGAGGTATATATGGACAAATTGTACGCTATGCTCTAGTTCGCTGAGTAGCACTGCTTTCAGGTAAGCCACATCTGCTTAGGTGAGATGTGACATTCCATGGAAATGTGTATTGTGTTGCAGTAGATGAAAGTTTGTGAAATTAAATTTTGTTTTTTGTTTAAATTCAGCTAAGAGCACAAAAAATATAATGGTACTGTGAAAATAAATATAAATTTATGAACCAAATATTAACATATGAACATAAATATGAATATTTAATCATCTAAAAACAAATATGAATATAGGAAGATAATACAGACAAATATGAATATAAGAAAATGTGTAATACATTATTGTATAAGTGTAGAAGCGGTTTGGATTCCCAATCTCGAGGTCGGGGTTTCAATCCCCTCGCTGTGCATTTTACTTGTGTCCCTGGGCAAGGCACTTTATCTGCATTGCTTCTCTCCACTCAGGAGTATAAATGTGTACCTGGTAGTGTTAAATGCCAAAATGTACTGATGGAACTTTATGGAATACTCCCTCAGGGAGCTTGAGTTTGTGTTCCATAGGCGTTTAATCCAATGACCGGGGGTAGTAATGTGAAGCGCTTAGAGGCCTTGTTGGCGTTAAGCGCTATATAAATCATATATAAACATATTATATTATGAATATAAAAATAAGTAATAAATTTTGAACATATGAAAGAAAATATGAAGATATTGAAATATATATTAACATATGACCATAAAATTAATCATGAATTTTACTCTTTTCATATCAGTATCTGTGTTTATGTGCTTAATAGTAGTATGTTTATTTTAACTTTGTTGTTTATATATAATTATTAAACAAATTAATTTCTAATCTTATACTGCTGTAACTGATCATGAACTTATTTTATTCTGTAAAGAATTGATTTCTTTGCAGAACACATGAAAAAGCCATGAGGAATAAATATGGCAAGAGTGTATCTAAAGGTAAACTACAGCTGAAGATACAGAATGCAACAGAGACCCCAGTTAACAGACTCATCAGTAAGTCTGTAGCAGAGGTAAGGTCAGTTTCATAGGCATCCACTCACAATATTATAGTTACCGTATAACAAATGTTAATTGTCATATGATATTAGCGTGGTATAAAAAACTTTCCAAAAAGGGTTTTCTCGTGTCGGGTATCCAAGTGGCATATTTTTTTTTTGGTGGGTAGGGGAGGTGGAGGGAGGCACATACATGCCCAGAAAAATTTTGAAACCCCTGACTTTCCCCACTAAACAAAACACCTCATACTGTATGATCTCATTCCCCAGCAAGTATCATCTCACTTTTACATTGCGCTCCTTTCGCTTTATCATCTCCTGCCTATATTTATACTCCTAAACAATAGGGCTCTAGTTAAACTCGTAGGCCCGAGCTAGGGGAAGTGTTTAAGAAGGGGGTTCCCCCTCCCAAATGAGATTTTTTTTAAAGAAAAGGAACCTCTGGATGGCCGGAAATGGCACTCTCAGACTGTGACAAGAATGTGTTGGCTTGGCGTGGGCCTATTTTTATATTGTTTATGTAGTATGATTGCCTGACGAGCTCTGTCTGATGGGGGCTTGACTTGACCAGTAGGGGACTTAAGCCCAGCCCCCCTTGCCCCGCCCCCGCAGGCGCTGCCACTGCCACTGCTCCTAAATACCCAACTGGCGTACCCAAGAAAGTATGGTAACAAAGATGGTGATAATGATCACTGAGTTATGAGCTATCACTGGGCTATGAATCATAATTTGCAGAAATTATGCAGTATTTTCATGAAAACAATATATTATTTGAACATCAATCAAGATTTAGAAAGCACTTTTCCACTGACTCTTGCCTCATGCACTTGACTGATCACATAAAATTTGATATATGGAATGGCCTTTTTACTGGAATGGTACTGCTTGATCTGCGCAAAGCGTTCGATACGGTTAATCACGCCATCATCTGTGAAAAGCTAAAAGCGATGGGCATACAGTCAGTGGAATGGTTCTCTTCTTACCTCACAGAAAGGTGTCAAAATGTTAATATAAATGGTGTTTCGTCCTTGAATCTTCCTATTGCATGTGGAGTCCTGCAGGCCAGTGTTTTGGGGCCCCTTCTTTTTTTGTGCTATATTAACAATATGGTCATCAGTGTTTGCCACGGTAGTAAGATTTTATTATATGCAGATGATACCGCCATCCTGTATTCTCACAAAGATCCGAAATATAGTATTACTTATATCCTCAGTGAAGCTTTACAATCATGTAGTTATTGGTTAACTGATAACAAGCTCTCTCTAAATGTTGAGAAAACTGAATGTATTCTTTTTGGATCTAAGCCTAAACTGAGAAATGTAAACAACTTTAAGATTAAATGTAAGGACCTTTTTATTAAGGCAGTAAAATCAGTTATCAGTTATTTAGGTATAGAACTGGATCAAGTATTGTCCGGGGGGACCACAGCCAATAAAATAATCAGAAAGGCAAATGCTAGACCTAAATTTTTGTATCGGCAAATTGAGTGTCTAAATTTAAAATGCTGTAAATTACTCTGCTCTGCCTTTATACAATGCCACTTTGATTATGCCTCTTCTGCATGGTATTCCGGACTAAGTAAACAAACAAAAAACAAACTTCAAGTTGCCCAAAACAAAATTGTACGATTCATCAAGAACCTACCTCCTAGATCCCATATCGGTAGAGATCAACTGTCCAGCATTGGGTATCTCAATATTGAAAACCGAGTAAAGTTTCTACGCCTCTGCCATGTACACAAAGTAGCCAATGGAATCAATGCCCCTTACTTATCAGAACATTTTATGAGAGTAAATCAATTCCATCAGCAACGAACTAGAGGCTGTATGCACAAATTTGTTGTTTCGTCTGTTAAAGGTATTGCATCATCTTCTTTTTTCTTTAATGGTATCAAAGATTGGAACAGTCTTCCGATATTAATACAGAGCATAAATAATAAAAAAACTTTAAAAGTGCAATAAAAACTCATTTGGGAAATCAGATGCGCGGGTAATGTTGACATTTTTGGGGTGAAACTTTTCTTTAATTCAATAATTTCAACACAACATTTTAAATTCAAATTATCATTCTTAATATAATTTAATTTTAATAAAAATAATAATAATTCATAAGTGCAATAATAATTATAGTAAGTAATAATAATGGATTCAACATTTTTAACTTTAAATTTTCATCATTCTTAACATTTTTTAATAATAATAATAATAATAATAATAATAATAATAATAACAATAATAATAACAATAATAATAATAATAACAATTCAAAAGTGCAAAAGGAAATCATTTGGGTAAACACTTAATTAAGTTATGATGTGCAATGTTTAAAATAAGAGTGTATCATCTCTTTTTTATACTGTATAACTTTTTTAATATCCGTTATATTTCATATTTTTGTCAATTTTGGCATTTTATTGTTAACTGTTTTATGCTTCTTGCATGGTAAAAATGTTTAACATTTGTTAAGGGCCCCAATGGAATAAGTTTTATATATTGTAAAACTTTCTTGGGTTACCCAAGGAAATAATGTCTTATCTTGTTCTTTATCATTTATCTGTTCTTTGTATTTGTTTTATTTTCAAGTAATCAATGATTTTAATTCCTGAATGAAATTAAATGAAATAATTAAACAAAGTTTGTATACTTTATTTTCATAAGAATTCTCTCTTAACATTGTAAGTTGTGACATTTTATGTGTTTTTTTTTTTCAGGTGATGGAAAAGACTCCTAGCATGCAATCCTACCAGACATTGAGTTTAAAG